CACACACACACACACACACACACACACACACACAGACACACACGCGCGCGCGCGCGCGTTGGTGCTTGCACGTGCAGGTAAGCCTTACTCATTACGTCTGATTCTTAAGTAAAAAAGTAAAATCAAACAAAGAAACAAAGGCATCACACATGCACACCTAAGAAAAAATGGATTCTGTGATATGCCAGTACAAACTGCAACACAAAATGAGGTAAGCGACAATGGAGTGTAAACAAGAAACAGGAAAGGGTGGGGGAGGGGGGGTTTTTTTTTTAGGAAACGGAGGTGTTGTTTTGTTTTTTTGTTTTTTTGTGGGGGGGGGGGGGGGGGCACAACAAATAAAGAGATTAAATAAAGACAAGGATAAGTAAAATTTAAAATGTTTCTATTTATTTTTCCTTTCTCGGCAAGTAATTTAAATTCACAAAGTACAAATAAAGAATAACATAAACAATACTTAGTTTAAAAAGAAAAAAAAACACAAGCATATCTCAAACAAAAACGAAACCCCACGGTTCGTCCTGACGAATTCAATCAGGATCAACAGACCTGGTTTAAACAAGTAGTGTGTTTCAAATAATATAGGCGACAAAAAGGTAGGTTTAAAACATTAATTTTTACTAACTACGCGTACCTTAAAAGCTTGTTCTACAATGCAGTGGAAGGGAAATAGGAATACTTTAAAGTAGGATGCTTGATTTAGATTATCATTGATGAGTACGTTAGGTCTATACATAATTTGTGTTTCGAAAACCGAGTTTGACTAAAGATAATTAATTACGTTTAAAATGCTGATTGGATTTGTTCACAATATGTAAAAAATGAATCAATACGTTCAGATACAAAATATTGATTAATCACTCGAAAGCATGCTGAAACAGTGGTGGCTTGCATTACATTGAATGATAACACGTCATGTTGTATAAAGCATAATGAACAATAACACAGATTGTATCACAGAGAACATGGGTCGTCGGTTTGTTGTTGTTGTTGTTGTTGTTGTTGTTGTTGTTGTTGTTGTTATTGTTGTTGTTGTTGTTGTTGTTGTTGTTGTTGTTATAGCTGTTGATGATGATAATGATGACGATGATGCTGTTGTTTTTTCATTACTGTTTTTGCTGTTGTTTTGGGTTTTTTCTGTTGTTTCTACTGACGGCGCTTTTGTTGTTTATTTAAAGCCATTTTTGTTGTTGTTGATGCTGCTGCTTTGGTTGTAAGTATATGGTGTAAGTCTATGGGTTCAACTTTCCTATCAACACTATTACGCTATTTGAGAGATGGGGCCTACGAATTTAACATTCATATCCCATAGGACAGGGCCATATGGGTTAAGAGCCTTGAAAATCCACAAAACGAAGGGAATTCAAGAACGCCTAGCCTCCGATTCGAACTAGGGCCATCCGTTTTGTAGTTCAGCATGATACCAGCAGCTGAACTAACAGCGCACCCGTTTCTGGTGTAGTTGCTGTTATTGCTGCTGCTAATCTTGTTGATGTTGCTTTTTTCATTATTTTTTTTTGTTGTTGCTGATGTTGTTGTTATTGTTGTTGTTGCAGTTGTTGTTGCTGCTGCTGCTGTTACTGTTGTTGTTGTTGTTGTTGTTGTTGTTGTTGTTGTTGTTGTTGTTGTTGTTGTTGTTGTTGTAGCTCTATTGCCATTCTGGTAGTGTCGGAATGCGAAGTCGGCCGATGGACATGTCATCGATACTTGTTGTACTGCTTTGATCACTTTGATGATTATACGTTTTGTTTGTTTGCTCCACAACTTTCATTCCCGCACAAAACATTCAAGTACTGTCAGCACCGCAATATACATAACAGTATAACTAATATTGTTGTGATGCACTTCTAAGTATCTCAAGCTTAAACAATGTAAATCAGTGCTTGCTAGCCTGGGCAATATCGCCAAGTACTTATATAAAAAATTATGTAGTGGGCGAATTGGTAAAATTGGTTTGCCTGTGTGTG